TACACCAAATACACCAAATAATGTTCTTTTTAGCAGCATCATATGACCCCTTTAACTTGTGGGAACGTGATAATTTTGTCGAGGTAACAACATCCTTATGTTGTGGCCTCGAGATGCTATGTTGAGGGAACGACATCCATTTCTCGTGGCCACGACTTCTTATGTTGAGGGAACGACATATTTTTTTCGTGGCCACAAGTTTAATGCGTAAACAAACCTGCGTGACCATAGCAACCTGGGATTATCAGAGATGGATTCATTAATATTTTCTTTTGAATTAAGAAATTATTATATTATTTATTATAGAAATTACTATATTATTAATTTATTATATTAACCATAGGCCTTAGCTACCGGACTGTATTATGTGTGATAGTCAGCATTCAAATAAAGTTTATCATGAATAAATGTTACATAAAGTGCATAATATAAAATATAAAACAATTTTTATCCATCCTACAATCTTGTAAGTCCATTAACTGATTGTATTATTATTAGCCTATTATTATTGGTTATATTTTTATATTCGTTTATATAAATTTTTTCCCTTCATTTTGATCTCTTTACTTAACGTTCTGAATACTTTTGTAAATAATATCCTACTGTAAATGCTCAACATGACAATAAAGCTTTGATTTTGCTGACTGGAATTTTTTCTGGAATGCAGTTTAAATGTAACATATATTTCATTTTATTTAGGCTAATTAATAGACAATAATTATAAATACTATAGAGTTTCGTTGAGGAATTAATCATTCACATAGTTTCATTTGTAAATGACAACACAGCACGCTCATTTATCATCACACATGGGCATAAATACAATCATAAAGTCAAAACTCTATTAGCATAATTGTCAGGCATTTATTTGCAAAATATATGATAGGCTAGCAAATGCTAGTATAATTATACAAAACGTTAACTAGGTAAAGCGATACACAAATTGAAAGGGGAAATAAGCATGTATAACAATAAATATAAAAATATAGCCCTAATAAGTTAATGTAATAATAATAATAATATACAAATATTAAATTAAATGTTTAATGTTAATAAAAATGTTTTATCCATTTTTGATAATCCCGGGTTGCTATGGTCACACAGGTTTGTTTACGCATTAAACGAGAAATGGATGTCATTCCCTCAACATAGGATCTCGAGGCCACGAAATAAGGATGTCGTTACCTCGACAAAATGATCTCGTGGTCACGACATAATATCATGTTCCCACGAGTTAATATACATACTATTGGTCTGCACCTTGTGTCAGGTGCAGTTTTAGATGTAGACGCAAGTATGCAAGGAAAATGTCTTACATTTTATTTCAATAGTCCACTTTAGACATTCTGCCAACTAAAAGTAACTTTGCAACTACATATCAACATATAACATATACATATAAGTCTCATTAATATGCAACTACATGTTAACTACATCTCAGTAGATTATTAGTGTATTGTTAGGTTAGGGTTATTAGAAAACATAATTAGAATGTTTTTCGGAGGACCAAAAATAAAATAAAATAAAATAAAATAAAATAAAATAAAATAAAATAAAATAAAATACATTTCATGGTGGATAATAAATACTTGGCAGAGATAAATGTTTACTATGACCCCGTGGTGCATGTCAGACCCTCTGTGTTGCACTCACTCACAGAATTTGACTTGTGTATGAGTTGTTCTCACCTGAGTCACTGTCACTGACGTGTTTCTCCTCTCGTTCTTCTCTCTCCAGAGTGCTGCTGGCTGAGGAGATGCTGGAGGCAGAGCAGTTATCTTTCTCATTCAGTTCCTCATTTTGCCTCTCTTTCTCACTCAGGACGGCACTCTCTTCTACATCCCTCTCTAACATCTGCTCTCTCACACACTCCTCTGTACCCATTTCATTAGTCTCTTCCTCAAAGTTTCCTTCTGCTTCTTCTTTCTTTTCCTCTTTCATTCCACTCACTACCAGTTCTTCACACTCTTCGGCTTCAGCTTCCTCTGCTTTCTCCTCTGTCTCAGGTCTCTCCGGCTCAGAGTTTGTTGGAGACAGAGAGAGCGTGATGTCTGATGGTTCCACAGGTCTCTGTTCCTCTGGTTTGGAGGGTGAGACCAGCGCAGACACTGAGGCCGAGGGAGGCTCTGAGGAAGGCCACGCAACTGCTGCCTGCACGGGATGGCTTGTTTCAGACTCAGTT